GTTGGTGAAGGGGGTTTTCGGCCCGTAATTTTTTTTATTTCAATTTTTTTACAATTTTCTCTACAGATTTATAAAATCTTAACAATTTTACGTAAAAAATATTATCTTTGTCCAAATCGATATTTCCAATGGTTTTCGAGTAAATTGAGTTTGAAAATTTTAATCCCATTATTTTCTATTTCACATTTAGCTATTGTCTGCAGTAGTAATTAGTTCTTTAATTAGTAAGTGTAACTCTAAATTTAAATAGTCTTAGTTTATGTCCTAAATTATTTATTAAATGATCGGATCCTTCATAACTGCAATTTATTAGAAAAAAAAAAAACAGTTTTGTTTGAGCCCTTTTAAGGGCATATAACTTCCTAAGGGTGCGTTTTAGGGCACATGTTAATATGAACTTTTTGGCTTATTTTAATGAGTTATAAACGCAGAAGAAGTTTGGAACCCTATTTTAGAAACTCCCTGTATAGGAATGTCAAATTCTGATCTCAAACAAAGCTTTGCCTTAAAATATTTCTAGCTTGTAACATAACAAACGGCATGCCCTGTATAACTTGTTTATAAACTAATCAAACCTGGCTAATTAAGACTTCTGAAAACAAACGCCTATCAAAGTTCTCTACGATTTCTTTCAGTGCAGGCAAAATTCAGTTAAAAGAAGTAACTCATAATTCATAGAGAAAAAAATCTTAGTTTCGATAATATATTACCCCTAAAATTTATGATATTGTGGAATATGTTATATACAGGACGTTCAGTTACTAATTGGCCAGATTGGAATGAAAGTTAGGGGGATAGTTTTAATAAAATTTTGTCGAAAAATTATTCGTATCGAGTGCATGTTGATCTAAAGAGTAATAAATAATTAATGTAACAAATTTAACAAAAATGTGTTTAATTCGATTGAGATACACAAATTATTCAGCTGATTTGCTGATAACTGCAATGGAAGATATCCATTTTTCTCTGGGAGAAAGTGTTATCGATATAGAAATTATATCTTTTCTGTTGTGACTGCAAATTTTAAATATGTCATTAATTTTGCTTTACATCGTGGCACCATAATATTTATATTTTGCAAAATACATTTCGGAGAAGGAAGTCACCGGTTTATTGTACATACATGAAATAGTAGGCAAATCATGGATAAAATGATCTTTACATTAAAAGGTTAATATTTCGGCTAAAAATATACTTATTCTTCGAGTTTTGAGACGCATTTACTGTCATTATTGTTCATTGGGTTTAACATATAAATGCATTAAAATAATCAACAGCTCTCCTAAGGAGTTTTCTCTTAAATATAAAAAAGGATCATTTTACTCATTCTTAAAATTATTTTCTACGCTCAAAACAATTCGCACTGATATGGATGCCAATCAAAAGTGTGGACATTTAATATTTTCAATAATCTATTTTCTTATACTCCGTATTCTGTGGCTATATTTTAAAATAATTATTGCGATTGTGGGAATCTAAATTTTACCTCATACGGTAGAGATATTGTTTCATATAGACTTTGAATAACTAACCTAACCTAAGATTGCAGACAGATTAATTTTCGAAAATGTTATACATACAAATTGATCAATACCTCTTTTGACACACAAAACAATACCATGCAAACAACTGATTAATTATTCTTTAAAAGCATCGCTTAATGTACATGATATTTTAAGAAAATAAAGTATATATCACGCTTACAGTTATAACTCTTGCTATAAAAATAAACGCCTTCTAATATTTTCACCCAAACCTGCTACACTGTAAATAAATCCAAAGAAATAATCCATTGAGTGAAATTATTGAGTCAATGTGAGTGATAATTTTACACATATTTGATAATACTTTAACTAAAATTGATAGTTTCATTCATAAAATTTTAGGTGTACCTACTCATACTAATAGAGGATAACTTCACTCAATAGAATAGATAGAAATTGATACAATATTAAGTGAAATTGAGTGAAAATGAGTGCATAGTTTTGTTTGTAGGCTTCCGTGGCTGTCATTAATGCACAGTTTCAGAGTATCATCTGAAGAAGAGAGCGATATGTCTCTCGAAACGTCAATAGTTGTAAATCGACGACGTGACAACCAGCCCGGAAATCATTTAACCAAAAATAAGTCCAATTTTTTTTACAGTGTAGTTTCTTAGAAAATGAGGGGGATTATTTTGCTCACGGGGATCATTTCACCCATGTCTCTAATACCTAATGATAAGGTTCCTCCCCTGTCAAATTATAGAAAAATTAGCCAACGAAATTCTCAAAAGCCAAAATCTTTCAACTTCAACATCCTACATTTCGGAAGTAAAACAGGAAAAAATTATTTCTCCCAATAACTGAATACCCTGTCTAAGTACAACTTTTTATATTTTGTTGACAACTAAGATATTTTTTAGGGCAGGTGGCATTTTTTGTGCTCACTCTTCTGGGAATGGCCCTTATAACAAGTAAGAAAATACCTCTAAACAAGAAACCAAGAGATACTGAAATACGTATTTTTTTTTAGGTGCCACTAACTTGTTCCAAGTCACCTCTATGGCTATTATACCGAAATTCCCTCCAGTTTATATGAAGACCTTCTTATTCGGCCAGGGAATGTCGTCGATTTTCAACGCAACCTTGCAAGTTATATCCTTGGCTCTCGGAACCTCCACGGAAACTTCAGCACTCTTCTATTTTATTGCAGGCACCCTAGTAATCTTTCTAACCTGGGTATTATATCTGCTCGTTCAACACATGAGCTTCTACAAGTATTACATGCAGATAGAGCTGGAAGATAAGAAGAAGAAGCACTCGAAAGAAGACATTAAGGTTGCGTTCTTTCGAGTATGGCCCTGTTTGGCTACGATGTGCCTAATATTCCTTACTATGAGCCTGACTCATCCCTGCATTACCACTTTAGTCGTTTCAGAGAACTATGGCAATGGCAATAAATGGAACGGTAAGAAATATGAAACATTTTTAACTTAACATATTCACTTCGTAACATTCGCTAATCAAAGTTAGCCGACATTGTTCGTGAACAATGTATGTTCACGAACTATGTTAGTTAATATGATTCGTCCACATCAGAGTGAATAGCTATATTATTAATGTATCCAGGTGAATGGATAAATTTATGAAAATGACAAAATTAATGATTTGATCATTCCATGATGTAACACTTACATTGGTACAAATTTTATCACTTATATTTTGCACAAGAGGTTTTTATTTTACCGAGTAAAGTTGGGTTGTTCAAAGAGAAACTGTTGCCTAGCAATTGGATGAGAAAAACTGTCAACTATTAAAAACGCGACACCGAAAGTGGAACGTTTTTAGGTTGATAGTTTTTCGAGTCAAATTGTTAATGGAAACAGTTTAGAATTTAAACAACACAAATTTACCCGCTGTCAATACAAACATCGAATATAATTCGGCAGGACAATTTAATGAATAAGAAATTTAGAAACATATCAATACAAAGTTTATTTATGAAATACTAAAAATAAATACATTATTATTTGAGCGTACAATGATTAAACACGCAGTTATTGAAATTCATACGATGAATACTAATGTCACTACGGGTGCCACAGCTAATAGTTTTTGTAGTAGATGTTTGTTTCTTTTTTTAAACGAATCGATTGAACAATGCTCGAATGATACTCTTTGTTAACTTGTTGTATTGATGGTGAATTGCTGTGTCCTGTTATTTTTATTAGAGCTTGTTCTTCAATTCCGCTTTTACTTAATTCGCTAACTGCTGCCGCAGGATTTGAGTGATTTGTAATTTTGATGATGATGTATATCAATGCGTTGTGCTGACCATTTAGTCCATTTGGAAATTTCATTCATTCCAATTGTCACATACCAGCATTGTTTGTTCTCGTCAGTACGCCATAGATGAGACGACCGAAGGATGATTCAGCTATTTGGATCTACCAAGCACATGTAAATTAAAATTAATTAATTAATTCATTGAAATTAATTTGAAATCTCTGATAGTTTGTTATCTTTATCACTAATTAAAAAGTTTATTTCGCCAAATGTGGTAATAGTTATGCATTCAAAGCGCCTACAGATGAGTAGTTCACTTTGGGTCAGTAAGTAGACATAAAGCGACATGACATTTAAAGATATGACAAGCCTTGTTGGTTATATTTCACCAAAGTGTGAATTTTTGTTTTTCTAAAAAAGTTTAGTCTGCCTTGAAAGTACCTACTTTCATAGTAAAGTAATATTGGGAAAGGTTTTAAATGTCATTCTACCATTTTATAGTCATATTATAGTGAATTTAAAATAGTTATAAAAAGTATTATAAACCAACATAACTTGAGAAATGGAAAAATGGAAAGGATTTTGAATTGAACTACGTTGTCAAATTATCTATAAGGAAACACCTAATTCGATTTCACGAAAAGTCTATAAAAAAGATGTAATAGACCGCAAAGTACGGCACTGCATGTACATAAAAACTAATCACCGGAATCGCACGAAGCACTAAAATTTGAAAGGGGCGTTCCTGATCAAATCTGAACACCCTGCTGAAGAAACAAAGATTTGATAATAAAATTACGTTTCTATTTCACGTTTTATCAGAGAAAACAATTAAGTTATTATAGAAATACCTTTTAAATAGGCACGGTCATCATGAAAAATAAATTGAAGAACAGTTCAGGATAGGTGAAAACTAACTTATAACTTTTCATACATTAAATTTATGATTTATTACCTCTAGATAGAAGGACATTTTTCAACTCAGCTACTAACCGACAAAACGTCGCCAATAGATTTTACAATAAAAATTATGATAGTTATACAGAAAAATGTCGAAAAATGTTTCGTTATGGCGGTTTTCCACTAAACAGACAGTTGATTTTATGTCCTGTTTTGTGTTTCCTAGAACCTGAAAAACAAAAACAAAACTGAAACAAACCCAAAACTATTGTTTCCATCAAGCGGGCTACATTTTGTTCGAGTTTTGTTTTCGTTTCCGGTCCTTTTCCACTGGTTGTCGCGAGGAAGTCAGAACACATTTTTCCAATAACCAACCAACATGTTTAGAGAAGATTTTTTTATTCTTAGTTATGGCTTGTTTATACTGAAGTCCTTGGAAAAAAAGTAAGTGTATATATGTACGGTTGAAGTATTTACTTGGTTAGTTAGTTAGTTTGTATACTAGCCAAGTAACCTTAACCGTATATATTTTTTAATAGCTATAATTCATTAATGATTAAAATATTGTTTCTGGGAAGAAGAAAACGCCAAGATAGATATTGGGTTGGATCACTTAAATAGAAAACACAACACGACCGTTTCCACTAAACAGACTTGAGTTTCAAAACACGTCGAAACCTATTGATGTGACTACTTTTGAGCGGGACCCGAAAAACAAAACTCCAACTGTCGCAAAATACGCCAGTCTTCAAAAAGTTTGCGAAAAGTTACAGTTCTGTTTTATTCGACACAAGTTTGTGTTTTGTTTTTGTTTTGTCCGTTTAGTGGAAAACCGCCTTTAGGTACATTAAATCTCTTAAACCAACTCTTAAAACAGTACTTAAGCAATTTTTTTCTCTAGCGGTACATGTACATCAAGTATAATTTCAATAAGAATAATATGTTCTCGGGGACAATTTATATAATTAAAAAGCCTTAATGATATTTAAATAAAAGAAAAAATGTGTTGCATTATTTCAGAGAGAAATGAAATTTTCTGCCGCAGTATTAGTTACGGACAGTTATGGCATAAGTGAGAAATACATCGCTGTACACATTATTTTTTTTTAAAAGGAAAATTGAATTTTCACAAAGATGTCCCGCAACCCATCTTTTAAATTTAGTTTAGTGTACTTGTCTCTCGGTTACCTTTCAGTACTCTCAGAGGCATAAACGAGAAAAACGTCGTCGAACTTCAGTCTAATATCTCCCGGTCTATAAAATAGAATAAACTTTTTTAACGTCAATCTCAGAAACGTAACATTTTTCAAGAAAACTTTATTTGAGCTATCCTTCTTAATTTTTGTCATTAAATCTATTGGTTATGTTTCTAGCTTAGCACCCTCTATGATAATATTCCAACGTCTCTAAAACCATTAAAAACACTCTCTAAAAGCATTTCTTTCATTGAGAATATGTCAGACGCCAGTTCCGAGTTCAAATATTGAAGTTTTTCAATTATTTTTAGCAATTTTTTTATATCATTAATTAGTTTAAGAAATTGTTTGAAATGTATCTGTGTAAGTGTTGCAAATATATACTATTATTATTCCTTTTATTGTTACTTGTGATTAAATAATTATTTCTTCATTTTTAGATACGTATTTTGTACCTACCATTACATTCTTGTTCACTGAACTGTGTTCACAATTTGGAAGGTTATTGTCTCGGCCCATAATCACGGTAGTATTTTTTAAATGATACTCAGTAATGCAATGCTCATTAACAACAAATTCTCGTTTCTAGAAATCTAATGGTCCCTGGGTAGTAGGCCTTGTCAGTCTTAGGATGATAGTCTTGGTACCTCTGGTGTGGTTTTGTAACGCGCAGCCAAGGAGCCACCTTTCAGTTCTACTGCCACACGACTGGCAGTACATTCTGGTCCTCGTATTATATTTTGTGACTGCCGGATTCTTACTTAACACTTCCGTTCTTAGTATCCCACAGTAAGTTTAAGAAAGACAGCCCAGAAAGTAGAAGAAATATTATATATATATTTTTTTTAGACTCGCAAAGGAAAAAGTAGACGTGGCCTACTTGCTCTTGCTTAGTACCGTAGGAGTAGGTGCGGGCGTGGTTTCTCCCGCTAGTTTACTAGCCGTTCGTATACTGTGATACTATAGACTATGCCTCATCGACCTTGACTCACAATCAGCTCTACCTTTTAAACTTTTCAATAATTTCTCATTGCTTCTAGGTCGGAACAACGGAGCAATTTACAGACGTATTCTTCAGCTGAACTACGGATTTTCTATATATACAGTACAAGTTTTATATAATACCAATTACGTTAATTGGTAAGAGTTAAACAATTTATCAGAAAATCTTTAAAAAGTGTTTTTTACCTTAAGTACTCTGTGATATGTAGGTATGTAGTGGAGAAAGACAAAAACATACTGTTCTGGCGAAGTACGATGTCACAACGTCGGCGTCGTCGCAAGGATTTGGCATCCTTTGTCAGTACATATAATTAGGAGACAATCGTAAATCGTATGCATGTAATATAAACACTGTGTCCACAAAAATGGATGACATTTTATTAATTAAGAAGCAGGAATGTTTACAATATCCTATCACTTTAAAGTCCAAAATATGCAAGCAGAAACCTGGGAAGAATTTGATAACGGTCTAAATTAACTGTATGTACAACTTATTGCTCTTCTAAAGTGAATATCGCGCATTCAATTCGGTCATCCCACTCGTTATAAGAACAACCGGTCGCCATGATTTCTGACTTTTAAATAAAAAATAAAATTAAATAAACATAACCTGGCATCGCATGTCTAGTTCAGATCTAAAAACAATGTTCACATACAAATGTTTTTAAACAAATGCCTGATGAATATCCACAACATTTGCAAATAATACTAAACGTTAATGAAAAGGTTTTTGTTTAGTCGTCCAAATGAAAGTTTAAGGGCAAAAGTAGTGTTTCCACAACAGAAAATCTCAAAGAATATATCTCAAAGTGAAAAAGCTATAAGTACAGATTTTTATAGGCAGCGTATTTCTGAATTTAAGACAGAAAAACTAAAGACGTTAAATGATGACATATTTCAAAAGTGTGAAAATTTTTTGAGAATTGAAAATAAATAATGATGAGAATGACACTCATTGATTTCGAAATTTTAATTGAAAGCATTGGTCTGTTTATGTCCATACAAAATACGCAATATATGAATAAAAGTTTTTTACACTAGTTACTTGCAGTAAAATGTTTTTAAAACTTGTGTTTTCCTTTTTCTATGGGAATACGTTTCCAAACAGTGTTTATCAGATCTATTTTATTATATTTACAGGTAAAAGTTTGTAGACCTGGTCTAGGCTTAAGCATCATTTTAGAGCAATGTGGATAATGCCAATATTTTGTAGTATTATTACAAGGAAATATATAATTTGTAAAAAAATTTACTTATATTTTTTATGTTCACTTGGATTATCAAGTGTCTTGTTCCTTTGATAGTTAGCTACATCAGCATTAAGGCCAAAACCCACACCATCCCATGCCACTACACCTGATTTAGACCCAGTTGAGAGCAGATTTGTAACATACCTTACAACGATACGTTCTCTTAAAAGGAAAAACTTCAAAAGAGGCTGATACTAATTAAGATTTCTATATTGTTATTATTAAACAGTTTTCTAATAAATTATAATAACTTATCTGTAATTTTCAATACTTTTCCTCTTCTCAAAATTCGTGACTAAATGTATTATAGAGGAGCTCTTGTTGTCGTACCTTTTCAATTCTGGAATCTGGAATTGTGGGGTAGCTTAAAAGCTACAGCACTTAGGCCCCTTGTACTTCCTTCCATTAGGAGATCAATCCATCTGAGCCGTTAACTAACCACCTATTAAAGAGAAAAAGGCAGTGGCGTTGCTCAGGGGGATCTCTCTAATATAGGCCATAAGGGCCAAGGATCTCTCAACATGGATTCTCTTATTGACGAGACAGCAGTGCATTCACATAGTACATGATTGTGCTCCTGTCTCGTCTTCCTGTTCACAACCCATACAAAGAGGTGTTTCACACTTGCTCATGTTGGGAAGGCGCTTCCTTAGCCAATAGAGTCCGGTTTGAATACCTGTCACCAGGCGAAGATTCCTTTTCAATTAGAATTTCTTGCGTTTTCTTTAAATTAGCAAAATATATGAAATAAACTATAGCGGGATACGGGAGGAGCTTTTACTCGAACAATGCGATAGCAGCACCTCGTCACTTTTAGGATATCCTCCTGGTCTTGGGGAACTTGTACGAACACTAAGGGTTGCCTTGGTTCTCCTCGGAAATTCCATCTAGTAGCCTTCGGATTGCGACTCTCAGTATCCCCTCGCTTGGCAGGGAAAAGGTTTGATACTCTCTTTCCTCACTCCCCTGAGTCACCTGGAATCGTCAAGCTATGATGGATAGCTATTCCCTCCGCCGTCAACCTAGCCCTGGTGAATAAAGGCCAACGTTCTCTCAACACGGATTNCGACTCTCAGTATCCCCTCGCTTGGCAGGGAAAAGGTTTGATACTCTCTTTCCTCACTCCCCTGAGTCACCTGGAATCGTCAAGCTATGATGGATAGCTATTCCCTCCGCCGTCAACCTAGCCCTGGTGAATAAAGGCCAACGTTCTCTCAACACGGATTCTCTTATTGACGAGACAGCAGTGCATTCACATAGTACATGTGGTACTATCTCGTCTTCTTGCTCACAACCTCCAAAAAGAGGTGTTTCACACTTCCTCATGTTGGGTAGGTGCTTCCTTAGCCAATAGAGTCCAGTTTGAATACTTTTCGCCAGGCGAAGATTCCTATTTAATTAGAATTTCCTGCATTTTCTTTATCTGTAAATTAACAAAATATATGAAATAATCTATCGCGGGACACGGGAGGAGCTTCTACTCGGACAACGAGGTGGCAGCACCTCGTCACCTTCAAGATATTCTCCTGATGTTGGGGAACATGCACGAGGACTAAGGGCATCTGTGCCTTGATTTGATACTTTCTGTCCTCGTCCGCTTGAGTCGTCCATAATTGTCAAGCGTTTACGGGTGGATGGCTATGCTCTCCCATGTCAACCTGGCCCTGGTGAATTTAATTGACTTGACGTTTATTCGACGGCTGACGACTGTCCACTTTTCCTTTTTCCTCAAGGTCACTGGCGAGAATTTCGTTTTACTGGGTGCTTCTCCGGTTACAATCCGGGCGGAAGTCGAAGGGTTCTCCGCTTCCATCCTTTTAGCAGTCAAGTATATGACCTAAATTTTTAGCCTCCTCAGTGGAAAAGATTTGTTGACCATCAAGAATTAAGGAAAAGTTAAATATATTTTTTCTATATTTCTGAGGGCCAAATAACATAATTTTAGTTTTAGCAGCATTAATACTTAAGCAATGTTTCTTTAGTAATTTCAATTAAATTTAAAATATCAATATTAATAGTCTTAATTGCATCAATTAAATTATAAGTTGGAAAAGCATAATACAACTGAGTGTCATCAGCATGGTTGCCATAATTTATGATTTTCAGATGACAAAAAATACGAATACGTCAAAGAATATACTTCAAAGTATTATTGCAGGCAGCATATTTCTGAATTTAAGAAGTCTCTGTAGGATGATGGTGCTTCCTTAGCCAATAGAGTCCAGTTTGAATACCTGTCACCAGGCGAAGATACTTTTTCAATTAGAATTTCTTGCATTTTCTTTAAATTAGCAAAATATATGAAATAAACTATAGCGGGATACGGGAGGAGCTTCTACTTGGACATTGAGGTGCCACCACCTCGTCACTTTTAGGATATCCTCCTGGTCTTGGGGAACACTAAGGGTTGCCTAGGTTCTCCTCGGAAATTCCATCTAGTAGCCTTCGGATTACGACTCTCAGTATCCCCTCGCTTGGCAGGGAAAAGGTTTGATACTCTCTTTCCTCACTCCCCTGAGTCGCCTGGAATCGTCANGATATCCTCCTGGTCTTGGGGAACACTAAGGGTTGCCTAGGTTCTCCTCGGAAATTCCATCTAGTAGCCTTCGGATTACGACTCTCAGTATCCCCTCGCTTGGCAGGGAAAAGGTTTGATACTCTCTTTCCTCGTTCCCCTGAGTCGCCTGGAATCGTCAAGCGTTTTCAGGTGGATAGCTATGCCCTCCGCTGTCAACCTGGCCCTGGTGAATTTAATTTGCTTGACATTCATCCGACGGCTGACCTGTGTCAAGATCACTGATTTAGTTTTACTGGGTGCTTCTCCGGTTACATTCTGGGCAGATGGCTAAGCGGTCTCCGCTTCCTTCCTTTTAGCAGGATGTTAGAGGTGAGGGTATGTCCGTCCTCGACAGCGGTTACCTCTGCTAGCCCCACCGGCTTCTTTTTTGGGTTTTACGCAGGAGTCTGACGAGGTGCCGGGTTTAGTTTCCCCTTTCTTTCCTTTCGCGATTCTCAAACATAAAATTACGATTATGGGTACAGCACATATTTTAAGAAAAATAATTTAATTGCAGGTCAATAAATCTATGGCACAAACATGATCCCAGTTATTGTTTAATTTAACACTTCCAAAGGGCAATACAATCGTCCGGGCCTCACTCTGACGCAGGAATCCAGAATGAAGGTGAAATTTTCCCAGCTGTGGGTCAAGAAGTGTGATAAATATAATAATAATAATAATAATAATAATAATAATAATAATAATAATAATAATAATAATAATAATAATAATAATAATAATAGGAACGAAAAAATATATTTGATCTTTTGTTGGAAATTCTGTTCTATTTATATGCCGTGTGAGTATAAAGTTTGTTTCGCACAAAGTTCACATCATTTTAAATAATGTTTATAAAAAATTATGCAAAAACCCGTCAATTGCTAAATTTAGTTAGCTTTCTTTTGACGTAGACACATTAGCCATATTGGCCAAAATGGCGGCCTGATGACGTAAGCATGCAAAAAGTATCGCTTATGAGGTCTCAAAAGACTCAAAACTGAATGCTAAATCCAAAAATTAAAAAAGATTGCTAATGGCTATGGCTAATGTACCTACGTCCAAAGAAGCTAACAAAATTTATTAATTCACGTGTTTTTTCATAATTTTTTTGAAAACAATACTGTTTCTATTCAAAATTGTCTCTTACATTACTCAAGTAGGATGATATCACTTTATTTGATTGGCACTGATCCGTCAATTAAAGGAAATACCAATGAGATTGTTAAGTTAAGCACGCCCTGTATACTTCTTAATGCTGGAACTAATCAGCGTTTAATAGCCATAATTTAGTGATCAAAGTGGGTTTGCTACAAACGTACTACAATTATTTACTGCGAAATGAATGAAATTTGCTTTTATTGACGCTAAAAGATAATTTATTATCTATTCTTCACGTACTCAGTAAATACAGGGTGGTTTCACTTTAAATGCAGAAACTGCAGGAATAGATTAGGTGCGAAAAAATAAGCAAAGTTTGCTCTATAAACATTTTTCCTGGTGGACGTGGTATTCGAGAAGCAGGGTGTTCAAGTTTTCAAAAAAATTATATTTTCTGTCATATCTTAATAAAGCGCTGAACGATTTGAATGAAATTTATTACTGTGTATTCACATAATTAGACCTTTTATAGAATGTAATATTAACCTCGTGGCATTAACCAGTGGCATGCTACTGAAAGTGCCGCTCCGTTTTCCCAAGAAAAAATATGCCACTGATGGTTTTTCGTAGAAATAATGTTAAATTCAGGTTACGTTAAATAAATGAAAAGTGTTTCTTGATGTTTTTTAATAGTAGCAGCCGTTTAGTCTACATACTCATATTTGTTTAAAATCCATCTGCAAAAATTGATTCTTTTGTCTGCATTATCAGTTTATGATAATCCCGTTTTAGTATTGTAATGTAACCTGAGGGGTTATTTCTTTATCTATCTATATATCGTTATGACCAGTATCATAACGAGTTTAGATTTCACAAGAGTTTACTATTTAATTCTCGAAAGAGAGTTTATAATTATCATTACATTTTAATTAATACGTGGGAACTTAGAAATGTTGTATGTTCAGAGAATGAATTTCAGTCACTTACCCTTTATTGCTTACGTAGAATGTAATCCATCGGCTGGCTATACAGGATGACACTGAAGTTGGAAGAAACAAAAAGAAACACCAAAACTTCCAGGAAGGGTTTTAATAACAATAAACAAAACAAAGGGATTCAGGGAATGCGCGCTTCATAGCAAAATTTGGAAAAACTTTATCCACTATTAAATTTAATTAATTAGCCCGAGACTCTAAAGTTAATTAGACTGCTCAATGTGAAACTCAAGGAAGAACTGACTTTTTCGAGATCTTTTCTGAATTCCACCTCGCTTCGGCACGCCCATTTCTTGGGTCCAGAAGTTTCTATTCTTATCTTATTGGCGGGGGCCTGAATATCGGGACGCTTGGTATAACTATACTAGGATAATAATTACCTAATTGAATTGACTTACATTCATATAAGAATTCTGAAACTCAACTTACTTACTTACAAGTAACCCTAGCCTTCCTTTAGTGACTCCGTGTAGCGATTACGGGGCGGATTAGTCAATCTCGTTTAATATCTACTTAATGGCTCGGAAAATCCGCCGAAAAACCAGCTAATTGATATTATTTTCTTTTTCAATTATTATCAGTTTAACAATTTAATTTAATTCTACTTTGGAATCTCTACGCTCTTCTCGTGGTTTCGCGCGTTATTAAAAATATCGATTTCTCTCTTTATACCTGCTCAACACATGGCCCCGACTCTAAGTGAACTTGTGCAAAAAATATTGTTAAATTTCTCCGAAGGACAACGCTAACCTACTTGAGAGCCCTTCCATAATTTGAGTTGACTGAAATATTTTACTTTTTGGCCCATCCGTTGCGAGAATTAACAAATAAATTACCACGCGACTCGGCTTTTGTTACAGTAACTAGCTTTGTTTATTTATTTCTGAAGCTTTATTGAATTGTGGCAAAGAATAGAGGAAAATTGTTATCACCTCTGGGAAAAGTATGTCATGATAAGTTCCTCTACAAATAGCCTTATTAGAAAATGTTAAAAGTGTATCGATGTGGAAGGATTTAATTTTGGACATTGTTGTAAGACTCGTTACTTAATTACTTACTCGACCTATTTACTAATGTTATTTTTTATTTAGTTTTGATATTTTTTCCAGAAATAAAACTATTTCTACAAAAAGCGCCAGTGGTGTAGCCTTTTCTTGGGAAAAGCTGGTGGACGATTTAGTAGTACGTCACTTGTTAAAACCAGGAACTTTTCATCAAATAAACGGATTAATTTATTAGGAAAAGTCAATAAAACGTAAAAATGAGCCCAAATACCTCCTAAACGGCTGCTACTATTAAAAAACACCAAGGAAAATTTTTCATTCATTTAACGTATCAGTCCCTGATTGTACCATTATTTTTAGAAAAAATCGCCAGTGACGTATTTTTTTCTTAGGAAAGTGGGGCGACACCTCCAGCAGCACGCCACTGGTTAAAGCCACAAAGTTAATATTACATTCTACCCTGTATCTCGAATACCGAATCTCGCAGGAAAAACTTCATAGAGCAAACCCTACTTATTTTTTGGAAGCGAATCTAGTACTGCAGTTTCTGTATTTAAAGTGAAATCACCCTGTATATGGTATATCTTTTATTAATTAAAATTTATAATTATGTTCTTTATCAATAATTACGAGTGTAATGTAAATTGCGCATACCAGATTGTTTCAAAAAAGGACCCACTTGACTATAATATGTATTTTAACTGGCACATATTTTCTCATATACATATAGTTTTTATTTGATGTTCGGCTGTTACTAGTACGAAGCCGAATACCAGTAAAGATGGATAACTTTCAAGAGATGTCCGATGTTCTGAGGAGAGGTAATATCAAAACCTGAAAAACCTGTTGATTTAAGCTTATTTAATATATCCAGCATCCTTGATCTCCATAACGAAGCCTGATGGATTGGTGGATAAATTAAGTAAAGACAAACACAAGCCCAAGGATACTTTGTACATGGTACACACGTTAAGTTTACTATTTGGTGTGCTCAATATGCTGCCCTTTTCTTTCTTCGTCACTGCTAACGATGTAAGTTCTAAATAATTGTTTAATACATTTTATAGATAATTTAATAAATAAAAAATGAATAATATGGAACTTCTTGTTAATTATTGACTTAATAGGTAACTTATTTATAGTTAGGCTAATAATAATCATCTCACACAAATCACATATTAGACATCTAAACTGGTCTAAAACCGTGTATGAAAGAAATTTAATTATTTGTAGATCATTTAAAATTTATCTGTAATTATAATACAATTTTCGTCTGGGTGATTTGTGTAAACCAACCTATCACAATTTAAAATTTGACGTAATTGGAAAAATGCTTATAAAAATCTAACAAATATAAATTATTGACTGAAATAGATTAAAATTAATATGAACTTTGGTTGCTGTCTAATCTACATAAACTTTATACCAATACAGTATTACTAGTTTCAAAAATAGCATATAAGTTTATATCGCAGGATAGGATTAAAATGGGTTTATACAAAAGGTATATAATTGAACATAGTAACATTTTTTTATTATTAAACGTTACATATTTTATTTATGTAATTCCTTATGTAATTTACACAATTTTGCACTCAGCTGCAGATAAACATCATTATTACTATTGATTTTATTATTGATATTAAGTTAAGTACTATTGTAAAATGATAAATTATTGATATCATATTCGTAATGATGTTATTAGTATTATCATATCACGCTTTGACCAAGTATAATATAAAATGAAATACAGGGTGTTACGAAATTCGCGGACACGGACTGTGGGATCATGTTAATAAGGTGATAAAAAAGTGTCTTTATGATTTTTCAATCAGGCCAGTATTTTTCGAGATATAGCAGTATCAAATATCCAAAAATAATAAAAATATATATTTATAAATTTCAATTTTCAATCATTACATAAACAATTACGACAAACGAGTTAGAAAAATTGTTCAAAATTTCCACCGTCTGCTGTTAAACATGCTTCAGCACGTTGTGCAACTGTTCCAATGGAGTTGCGTATCATCTCTGGTGTTATTTACTGTATAGATTGAAATAGGCGGTTCTGCAATTCGTTCAAATTTGCCACTGGCGTTCTGTACACCCACATGGCGTTAGGTCTGGAGAACGAGGTGGCCAAGCAAATGGACCGCCTCTGCCAAGCCAACGTCCAGGGAAAGTATTATTTAGGTAATCCCGTACAATTAATGCGAAATGGGGACCAGCGCCATCGTGCATAAAAATCATATTTTGACGCACATTTAGGGGTATGTCATCCATGAATTCTGGGAGTTGTTGCTGCAGGAAATCCAAATAATTTTGTGCGTTTAAACGGTATGGCATAATGTGGATGAACTAAAAAGTGGTTGGAATCGATTGAATGATTTAATAATAAATTATTCTTACTTATCGCTCGATCACCTAACAATCCGCACCATACGTTTAAACCAAAGCGACGTTGCGTTGGCGTATCTCGAAAAATATCGGTCTGATTGAAAAATGATACAGGCATTTTTTTATGGCCTTATCTAGCTTAACATGATCCCATAGTCCGTGTCCGCGAATTTCGTAACACCCTGTATAACTAGAATTTGATTAATGGTGCTATTCTGTAATTTTCTAACAGTGCTCTAAATAACGAGATGAAAAAATATCACAAGATGGAAGCATAACATTTAATAAAACATTTATATCTGCTTTTCTGTCAGATTTTAAGTAAATCTGGTTAATACTTTTTGCAATATTATTGATTACATTTGTTATAAACAATTGTTAAATGTCATAGCCTACAGTTGCTGTAATACGTTAGAGAATAGTAGCATAAATATTAAGTTGAAATCGACAATTACATTTTTTATACGAAAAATTTAAATGCTTCATAGATGTCCCATAATTTTAATTTAAATTATGGGATATCTATGAATGTGTTGGTTATTATAATTAGATAAAAATAACAAAAAAAAAGGAATAAGACAATATTTGATTTATCCTTTGAAGATCATCCTGTTCCAATTGAATTTCAAACAAAAAATTAAAATGTCAATTTTCTTTTACCACGGTTTACTTATACGGCTGCTTGAAATAATTTGTTAAAATTACGAGTACTTAAAATTATTTCAATACAAAGCACATATTATGGTAGCAGAACTTAATATAAGTGTTAACAATTCGATATCTTTGTAGTATACAAAAAAAGACACTTGTGATAAGAAATTAGGTATCTCGCTTGCGTAAACTTTTCCTTCAAATCAAAGCATGGAATGTGACTTAACGTAATTATTAGAGGCCCCATAGAGGTCCTATACAATTATTCCGATCAAAATTTTGAAAAACTGGGTTACTCCCATATAGTAATATATTTTGTAGCAATTTTGCTAGGAGCAATTTTACCTCAAGGGAAAATCTATATACTGTATGTATAAAAGTGGTTATATTTTCAATATATGAGACATTAGTAGAGTTCGGGGTTTTCGGCGGCTAGTCATAAGCGTGTAATAAATAAACAGGTAGGTATAAATAAAAATAAATAAATTTGCGTACTTTATCAGCGAAAGGTCGTTTTTTACCCTTTGGCGCGTTCGACATTATTAGAATATTAAAACGTACAAACGCGAAGCCAATAACTGCCGTTATTACCGGTTTCGTACGGTGCGCTGTAGCGAAAGGCAAACGATGATCATCCGACCGAGTTCCGAGCTCTAGACATTAGAATCAGTGGAAAAATATTCATGATTACTTTACTATCTATTTTTTGTAGTACTGGATGTATAAATTTAGAGACCCTGCAAAGGACACGGCAGATCTGAATAATAAGACGACCCTTGAAAAATATTTCGTGTCAGGAAGTCTAATAGTCCAAACTGTACCCGCTATAGCGACCATGTTATTATCGACAACTTTCGGACCCAGATTTAGAGCACACCCCAGGATTATTATATCGTTGACTTCAATAAATATTATTTTTGTTGTATTTACTGCCTTCATAAAGATTAATACAGACACATGTAAGTATACAGTTTTAACATTTACCTATGTATTACCCTGGTGGTAAAATGATCTCTTCTTTGAGGTAAAATGATCCCTTTCACTTTTTTTTGTAGAAACAATCCGCACTTCGTGATGTGGATGCTATCAAAAGTGTCTACGAAGTGGACAACTAATTTTTTTAAATTATATATTCATATACACAAATACTAATGAATACTTCTTCTGTGATTTACTATTCGTTAAAAGTTTTACTTAATTTTTATGAAATTACACGAAAACAATCTAACTTGTGTGTCAAATGCACAGTTAGAAATCTCGCTATAAGGAGAAGCGCTTTCTGCACATTTGGTCTCTGGTGAATATATTCACTATAACTACTAGTTTCTTACAAAATAAGAGGGATTATTTTAGTCACTGTAGTCATTTTACCTATGTTTCCCCTCCCTACCTAATGACAAGGTTAATGCCCTTCATATCAAATTCGACAAAAGTTGCTCAACGAATTTCCAAAGTATGCTTGAAAATAGTTTTAATTTTTTCACTCCATCATGCTACTTTTAGGAAGTAAGGCATTTACAAGATAAAAATTATTTGAACTTAGAATAGAATCCGTCGGTGACGTTTGACGGATCAGTAACTGAATACCTTCCATAAGTAACAACTTTTGAATATTTCGTTAGAATTAAGATATTTTTTAGGGCAGGTGGCATTTTTTGTGCTCACACTTTTGGGAATGTCTTTTATAACAGGTAAAAAAATACCTCTAAACAAGAAACCAAGAGATAATGAAATATGTATTTTCTTTTAGGAGTCCTTAACCTGTTCCAAGTTACCTCCATAGCTGTCATATCGAAATTCCCTCCAGCTTATATGAAGAGTTTCTTAATCGGCCAGGGAATGGCGTCGATTTTCAACTCAACCTTGCAAATTATATCATTGGCTCTTGGAACCTCCACGGAAACTTCAGCACTCTTCTATTTCATTACGGGCACTCTAGTAATACTTTTTAGCTGGGTTTTATATCTGTTCGTTCAACACACGTCCTTCTATAAATATTACATACAGATAGAGCTGGAAGATACAAAGAAAAAGCACTCGAAAGAAGACATTAAGATTGCATTCTTGCGAATATGGCCCTCTATGGCTACAATGTGCTTAGTATTCTTTACTATGAATCTGACTCATCCCTGCGTTACCACTTTAGTCGTTTCAGAAAACTATGGCAATGGGAATAAATGGAACGGTAAGAAATATTTTAGTGTATCGAAATCATTTACGCCAGATCAGAATTGACGCGAACATTTTTAACTTATCGTGCTCACTTGGTAACGTTCGCTATACAATGTTAATGAACATTGTTCGTGAAGAAAGTTTCGGTATGTTAGTTAATATGACTCGTCCGCATTAAAAGGATAGCCATATTGGTAATGTACCCGGGTGAGTGGACAATTTATTCAAATAACAAAATTAATGACCATACCATGACGTAACACTTACGATGGTACAAATTTTATCATGAGAAATCAGCAACTGTCATCTTCATGTCACATATCTTGACGTCTGTGAATGATAACTGTAAGCAAATTAAAAAATAACACTTCAAGAAGGAATGTTAACAACATTCTTTTTTGAAGTGGTATTGAAGTGTTGTTATTCTAGAAATCTAGACCTTCTGTCTTTTCAAGAGATAGACTAGATAGTTCATTTGAAAAAAAAATATAATTTTTGCTGAACAAGCTTGATATATCTGTCAAGAGACTTTCCCTATTATCAGATTTGAGAATAGTAGACCAAAGCGGTTTAAAACATTTTGGAATAATTTCCCTATCAGACTTACAAATTTTATTCTATCAAAGTTGTTCCTCAGGATTTCAATTTGAAAAATAATATTTAGGTGATGAAAAAACTAGTTACTGCCATATGACAGGCCATAGAAGATTCTTTACAAAATCTAATGTTTCTCTATAGAATTCCAAAATAGATAAGTGTCACGATTTAAAAGATGCAGTAAGAATGACTTTGCCTGCTCCATAATTAACGTCCTATTTCTTTTTTGTATGCTCAGGAAATTTGACTCTTACTTACTGTAGAATTTTAAATATCAATTTTCATTAAAGATAAAATTAAAATTACAATTTGAATAATTATTAAAATTTATTGGAGCAATAGAATTCAGGTTTAAAACAACATTCTCTTCTGAAGATGCACATTTTGTAATACTCTGGGATGCCATATCACTTTTTGTCATCGTAGAATATCCTTGAGAATTTCCATGTAAATTTATTATTTTTTTTCACAGATTGATATATTCCTCACATACAGAGGATGAACGCCACCCATCGTTATAAGTCACTTTGTGTCAGTAGACATAAAGCGGCAATGAAATATGAGATAAATCTTGTTGGTTATATCTCACCAAAGTGTAAATTTTTGCTTCCTTAAAAAAATTAGTCTGCCTCAAAAGTACCAACTTTCACAGCAAAGTAATATTGAGAAAGGTTATAAAAATAATTCACTGTCATATAGTGAAATTTCAATTATTATAAAAAATATTACGGAGAAATATAAACCAACATAAATTGGGAAATGGAAGTCTTAAAGGATTTTGAATTAAACTACTTTATCAGATTATGTTCCGGGAGATCCAGAATGATTGATGGCTCAGTTAGTTACAAATATTTTGTGCGCCGCTCTCCTATTATTTTCACTCTTCATAGTTGGCAACAGTGACAGTGATTTACTTCGATCAGTGGCGGGTTAAGTACAGTGGCAATAGAGTCACATATTCATTTTAATTACAAAAATACAAGACAAAAAGCAGAATGTTAGTATTTGAGGGTTGCTTTCGGTGTGCAGCAAAATGAAACTCTCTCTGAACTGTAAAAATGAAAGTATTTTTTATTGAAAACAACGTTAGTGAAAAAGAAGTGTTGTCGGGGCGAGCGTTCGCTGAAGAGTCTTCGTGGTATGGAGTCGCTCGCAGGTATAAGTATCTGGTCCTTGGCGCCAATCTGCCGTGGACATTTTCCTGGAACCCTGGTGCGTCACGTTTGTTCTTTGTCCTTACAACTGTTAGACCGGTCCGGACGGCGTCAGGCTGACGCTCTTGACGTAATACTCAAAATGGAGCACTTGCGGACATTAATTAATTCGAGGGGTTTATTAATTTGTTAAAGGAAAGGATTAAATAAAAATGATGGAGATATTATTATTATTAATCTCAAAACTAACATAAGAATAGATTTTTAACAGTTATTTATCTATTTTGTTTTTTTATGTAAACTTCAAAGTAAAGGCAACAATTTTTAAATGAATTTACGTTTACCGTCCTCATTTAGAAATGCGAATAAAAAATCGATTTAAAATTTCCTAAATTCTAACTAATAGAACACGTTACTATAAGAAAATTTTTAAATAATAGTGGCTTTATTGGTTTAAAGTTAAAAAAAGTGAATATATATTTTTAATTTTGACCAAAATTCTGTTCGACCCAGTAATACTAATTTTTGTAATTAATTTGTTATAATTTTTAACAACTATTTTAAACATTAAAACAAAGAATAAAAATATTTAATATTTTTAATCACAATTTATTTATAATGACTGTTCAAAATGCCTGCATTTGTTCTGTATACTTATATAGATTTACTCGTCTTAAACTGTTAAATATATTATGTAATTCATTTTCTGTAATTTATTTATTATGGCATCCTTTAGTTCATCCACTGTGTAAAAGGTTTATATATATGAAATTTTTTATTGTTCCAAAGAAATAATAATTTAAGGGTGTTAAGGCCAGGGATCTTGGAGGCCATAAGCCTCGACTTATAATGCGATCGTCATAAAATTCTCGTAAGAACTCCAGTGTTGTGTTAGCTGTGTGTGCTGTTGTCCCATCTTGTTGAAAGTAACCATTGTGCAATTCGTCATGTAGCTGATTTAAAAATGGCTGCAAATTGTTTTGTCTATATCGCTCAGTAGTAACATTGTCTTCAAAGAAAATAGGTCCAATTATTCTTAGCCGAGATATGGCTGCCCAAACTCCCGTTTTAACAGGATGTAAAGTCGTTTCCATTAACACATGTGGATTCTCCGCAAACCACGATAATTTTGTGTATTTACGTAGGTATTCGCTAAGATGAAACTATGCTTATCAGTAAAAAAGTTATATTTAAAAGATTGTCAGCGTTGAAGTTAAACCAGTTACAATTTTCATTATCTAATGGTAATAATTCTTGCACCATGGAAACTTATACGGATATAAATATCATTTTCTTACAGCTCTGTGTACTGAACCATATGACATTGATTAATATTTTTAAATACACTAATGCAAACAATTAAAGGGTCAAAAGAATTTCCGAAATTTTTCCGTGATTTTTGACAGTATTTAAGTGAAAAATGGTCGTATCGAGAATTAAAAAACAAACATTTTGAAGCTCTAAGATTCTAGTTTTTAGATCTTTCGGTCGAAAATTTTTAGGAGCTACGGTTATCATGCAATTCTAATATCGCGACAAAATTTTTTTTTCCGAGTTCACGGACTTGGAAATTTTTTTTCAGCTAAGCTATTGCATGACTCAGATAGCTTATTTATTCAGCTTTAATTTCCTTTTTTTTAAATTTCGATACGACCATTATTCATCAAAATATCGGATTTTTAATGGAAAGGGATCTTCAATCATCGATATCTAGGCGACAAATGGTCGTACAGAGAATTGAAGAGCAGTTTCAAAAACTGTAATAAATTTCCTATAATATGCTGCCGCAACTTTTCGATTTTTTTTTCTTCACTTTACACGAATTTAAAAAGCAGGAAAAAAGGGTCATTTCTGGTTGTTTAGAAAATTGATGGCTAAATTAGAAATATTCACGAAATGACTAATGTTAAGCATGACTTTTACAGTTCGATATACCCAGAAGAACCCTGCGAAATTTCATCTCGATCTAACATACCGTCTCTTTGTTTCAAACAAACTTTTGAAAAAAATTAAAGGGTCACGATTTTTGAGCTTAAACATTTCATAATCATGATTAAACGTAACGGCCGATGAACCATGGGGACTATCCGACCCTGTATAACATTTACGTGTGACGTCAGCTTCAATCATTCTGGATCGCTCGGTATAACTAAACTCCTAAGTGTTGCAAATAGATATTATTATTATTACTTTTACTGTTACTTCTGTTTAAATAATTATTTTCATTTTAGACGTGTACTTCGTACCTGCCATTACATATTTGTTTACCGAAGTGTGTTCATTGCTTGGAAGGTTATTGTCTAGGCCCATAATCACGGTAATTTTTTTTAAAATGATAGTAATGCAATTAGTACCCAATTCTCGGCTTTAGAAATCTAATGGTCCCTGGGTAGTAGGCTTCGTTGTTCTTAGGATGATAGTCCTGATACCTTTGGTGTGGTTTTGTAACGCGCAGCCAAGGAACCACCTTCCAGTTCTATTGCCACACGACTGGCAGTATATTCTGGTCCTCCTATTATATTTTGTGACTTCCGGCTTCTTGGTTAACATTTCCGTTCTCAGCGTCCCACAGTAAGTTTAAGAAAGACAAACCAGAAAGTAGAAGAAATATTATGTATACTTTTTTTTAGACTCGCAAAGGAAAAAGAAGACGTGGCCTACTTGATCTTGCTTAGTTCTGTATCAGTATCTGTGGGTGTATTTTCTTTCATTAGTTTACTAGCCGTTCGTATACTGTGATACAATTAACTCATCAGCCTTGACCCAGCTTTGCCCTTTAAATAAGTTAAATAATCAATTAGAAAATTAAAAAATTTTTTTTACATTACTTAAATATTTTGTGATATCTCAGTAGGTATGTAGTGGAGAAAGATGAAACACTGGCGAAGCGCAATGCCGCCTCGTACACCACGTCAGGATCACTTGGCACCCATTATCTTTACGTTTAATAATAAGGTTTAAATTAACTGTATGTTATTGTTCTTCTAAAATGAATAAACCAGTAAACTCGCTGTGCATTTAATTCCTTCTTTCCATCCTTCATAAAAACTGCTGGTTAATAATAATAATAACTTTTATTTTTCCATAATAGAGAACAGCAACACAAAAAACATGGGTATAACATATAATTGGGAAAAAAAGCCGAGGAACAGGTGACTGAACCAGTTCTGGTTGCAACGGTTCTGGTAAGAAGTTTCAACTTTCATTTTTTTTTTAATTGCCAAATGCTGTATGTTTTAATATTATGATGTAACGAGTTATAAACTTTACTAATCCGGGAAGAAAATGACCGTTTGAGAAACTGGGTATGGTGTAGAGGAGGAGTCAAAGTACCCTTAAACCGAATATTAACATTACGAACATCAGTTCTAAATGATATTTTATTATAAGGATAAGGTGGTGGCCCTATATAAAATAATTCTGTGAAATGGACAAGCACTGTGCAAAAAACGACGATTATACATATTATTAAGCCAACCGACTTCAGATAAGTTATAAGAAATTTGTTGACGTCTTCTGATCCTAAAAATTAATTTCAAGCAAGAGTTCTGCACTAACTGAATTCGCTTGGAGTCAACAGCATCGATAAATGGACCATAAACTGAATCCTCAAAATTAAATTGGGATAAAACCAACGACCTACATAAAATTGATCTAATTTTTTTAGATAAAAACTGTCTACTATTATAAATTAATTTAAAATTACAAAAAGCCTTGCGAATACAGCTGCTAATATGTGATTTAAATCTCCGATTCGAGTCAAGTATAAGACCTAAATTTTTAGCCTTCTCAGTGGAAAAGATTTGTTGACCATCAAGAATTAATGAAGAGTTAGATATATTTTTTCTATATTTCCGAGGGCCAAATAACATCATTTTAGTTTTAGCAGCATTAATACTTAAATAATGTTTTTTAGTAATTTCAATTAAATTTAAAATATCAGTATTAATAGTCTTAATTGCATCATCTAAGTTATAAGTTGGAAAAGCATAATACGACTGAGTGTCATCAGCATGGTTGCCATGCTGATGACACTCAGCTGACAGCAAAAGTCTTTGTAGGATGAGAACATAGCTGATCCTATACTTAAAGTTACACCCTACATTCAGGCTGTTATTTTTTTTCGTAAGCTTATTAATATTACATATAAATTTATAAGATTCATTTATAAAGATTACTTCTTTCACGTGAAATTTTATTTGTAATTTCGAATAAAACAAGAATATGTTCGGCTTTAAATGTACTAAAATATAGCAAGGTCAAGAATTATATTATATTTACAGAAGCAATTATTATACTCATTCAATGCCAGACACATGCGAACTTTCACAAAAGATAAAAACCCTTCAGAATACAATTTTATATCAGATAATGTAAATTGGATGACCGTTGGCGTGTATATTAAATTGAATTATAAAGGAAGTGGGGATAGCGGAGAACCAAAATATAATGGTGTATCATTATCTTAGATATTTAAATATAGATATCAAGTAACAAGTCTGTAGCTAAAATAGTTGATATTCCAAAATGTGGTACCAAGATGATGATGGTGGTGATGTGGTTGTTGCAAAACAATCTGGAATCTGGACGCACGCAATGAGGCTTGACTCTGAAAATCGTCCGTTGAAAAACTTTAGATCACAATTTTATATCAGATAACGTAAATTGGATAACCATTGGCTTGTGTTTTAAGATATGGGATTATAAATACGGTGAAGATACTGCAATACCCAAAAGTATAACATCTTGCACATTTTATTTTACGTATTGAAAAACAAACAAATGAATATCAAATAAAAAGTCTCTCGTTAAAATCGTTTTAGGGTACCTAATATTCGAAAATGTTATTTCTTGGTACCACATTAAACGAGTATAGTGTTAAATTGATGATATTCCATAACGAAAAAAAATATCTAATTTGTATCGCCTTGATCTCTTGTGATTCAGTCATAAATTCATTAATTTTAAGGGAAAAACAAATAAATGCATATTACACTGAAAGAAATATTTTCAAATCATTATTTAAATTCCTTTTCGGACCGCTCCTGACCGCTGACGGCGTTGACACATTCAAATCTCCCAAGTCAACTGGATGATGGCTGTTGTGACGAGGCCAAATATAAACATTTTTCTAGTATTAGGTTCTTGGATAAACTTAAGTTTATTTTATGAGAAACAAATCTATTTCACAATAACTATTTATGTGGTTCTGATGTGGCAACGCCGTTCTGCCTTGTAACCTGAGCGGTTATTTATTTACTTATCTATCTACCGCTATGACTAGTATCATAACGGTGTTAACTGACAAAAGAGTTTGCTATTAACTTCTCGAAAGGGAGTTTATAATTATCATTACACTTTAGTTAATACGTGGGAACTTAGAAATGTTGTACGTTCAGAGAATGAATACGAGATGCTTACCGTATGTTGCTCATGTTTGTACATGAGCAACTACCTTGTGGTAGTTCAGTGGTTGGTTGTACAGGGTGACACTTAAGTTGGAAGAACAAGAAAGAAACACCAAAACTTCCAGGAAGGGTTTTAATAAAAATAAAAACAAAACAAACAAACAAAATAACGACACAACATTATTAATTTATTGACACGTGACAGCGTACCGAGATTCAGGGAATTAGGAATCCATAGCAAAATTTGGAATGACTTTATCCATTATTAAATTAACCCGAGACTCTAAAACTAAGTAGACTGCTCAGTGTGGAACCCAAGGAAAAACTGCCTTTTTTTCGAGATCTCTCTTGAATTCGACACCTCGCTTCGACACGCCCATTTCTTGGGTCCAGACATTTTTGTTCTTATCTTACTATCGGGAACCTTCTCAACTAAAAAGAAGATATAAAAGCATCAAAATTCTTCATAGCTGGCGTTGCCAATTTTTTTTTAAACACCGTAACCACTTGCTATTTTAACCCTTTATCGCCTAGAGATACCATATGATATCACAAAACATTCCTGCGATATGGACCGTATTGCGACACATACATAAAAGTTAAAGTAGCGAACACCCCCACCAATGGTCGGCAGATATGCAACTTTGAATTTACATCACGTGCAGTCGCGCTGCAAACGTGTTTGGGGTAACTGCGTTATAGTTTTTGAATGGTGAATTTTGTTGTGTGGGAAATAATGGACATTCGATGGGCGTAAGTAATTTATTTTATTATTACAAAAATTTGTACCTGATGTATTATACATCAATCTATTCCACATGAATCATGTAACAATCCTCTATAAAATAAGTACAGTTTCGATAAACCCAGCAAAAGCTGTAATGCCGCAAAGTTGTCCGATACCATATGGTATCCATGGGCGCTTGAGGCGCTAAATTATTTTATGTAAGTATTCGAATCACTCTTAGATATACACAATTATTTTAGACCCGGTTTTTCACTATCCGAAGCACTGGATATGATAAATGATGACGATGACCTGGGGCAACAAGTTGATGAAGTATTTATAACACCACCTGATGTAAATGTGGATACTGACGAAGATTCTGCGGATGAAGACGAAGGTGGAGCCATTAGTAATCTGACAGGACGCCAGTTGCGAGCAGAAGCGGAAATAAAGTTTGTAAATAACATTAGAATTGGGGAAGTCAATGACGTTGCCGAACAGGTAGAAGAAGCTGAACAAACTACAAATGTAAGTTTTAGTAAGTGTGCAAGTAGTTGGTCCCCTGTCTCATTTGTTGTCATTCTAGGTGGCAGGGTCGTCAACTGCGACCTCACAAATCCAAGCACAGCCATCAACTACTGGCGCCCAGCAGGACATGCCAGATCAGGACTGGATCAATAATCGCCTTACATATAAAAAAGAACCAGTGTGGATTGCTGGCGATTTGGAACCCATGCAGCAAACATTTCCACAGGCTGACTATTCTCAATACAAAGACCTGTCATGCGTTGAGATGTTTGAATTGTTTTTTGATGACGATATTTTGCAATACCTGTGTGAAGAAACGCAACGATATTCGCAATTCAAAAATGATGCTGATCCCAACATAAGCATATCACAACTTCGATGTTTTATCGGAATTCTTATTCTAAGCGGATATAATCACCTACCATCAGAGAGGATGTACTGGGATGTAAAAGAAGATGTACACAACTCAATGGTAGCGAGCGCAATGCGAAGAAATCGGTTTTTAACCATTAAAAAATATATTCATATGGTGGACAACACGCAAATATATGCAAGTGACAGAGGTTGGAAGGTGCGGCCACTAATGAACAAAATAAAAGAGAAGTGTCTGCAACACTACCAACCTGGAAAAAACTTATCCTATGATGAGTCTATGATAAAATATTATGGACGCCACGGGTGTAAACAATTCATCCGTGGCAAACCTATCCGATTTGGATATAAAATGTGGTGCCTCAATTCTAGGGAAGGCTACCTCGTAAATTTTGATCTATATCAAGGCAAAAATCCGCGAGGTATTCAGAGTTTTGATACCTTATTTGGAAAAGCCGCATCACCCATGGTGCTAATGTTACACGAATTGCCACAGCAGAATTTACCATATGTGATTCATATGGATAATTTATTTACAAATTTTAATTTACTGGCTTATTTGCGGACCAGAGGATATGGTGGGGTGGGTACCATTCGTGATAACCGAATACCACGATCGTGCCCACTAACTGACAAAAATCATTTCAAGAAAAGAAATCGTGGCGATCATGAGAACATTCTGGAAAAAAATGATGGCATTTTATTGACTAGGTGGATGGACAATGCTGTTGTCACCATAGCATCCACAAACGATGGTGTGCAACCCATGGGCAACGTGAGAAGGTACTCTCAAAAAGAGAAAAAGAAAATAGTGGTTCCTCGCCCCCAGTGCATTGCTGCGTATAATAACAATATGGGAGGTACTGATCTTATGGACCAGGGAGTATCCAACTACCGCATTGGAATACGTGGCAAGAAATGGTATTGGTCTATTTTTACCTGGCTGATAGATGTCGCATTACAAAA